CTTGACTGTCTCCCCCCTTGGTGACCGGCCCTCCTGTGCCCCCATACCAAACCCATCCCAGGACATATCGACCATCCGGGATAACGTCGGGAATGACTGTCTTGGTATAGTAATATCCGGGTTCAATGTCTCTCCTGACGGCACGGTTCTTCTTGGCGCCCCTCACGGCTCTGACGCCTTCATCACGAAATAGCAACGTACCAAGATCCAATATTTCCATCACCAGTACAATATCAGAAGTGACCAAAGCGTGACGAATAATGGAAACCTTCGGCTCTTACATCGGCTTTCATGTGAACTTTTCATAGTGCTGGGCTTATTGAACAACCTCTCTAGCGGCCTCTATTGCATCTATGTCTCAGGTCTTTCCCATACAGTTGTCACAAGCAGGAGCTATGACTCTCTTACGTGCACCGTCGGGAACTGGTGCCTTTATTTCAAACTATGTGCATGACAAGATTACTCCATGCACTCCTTCACTCAGCGTACTTGATGAAACTCTAGACACACGTATTCGCTTTCATTTACGCCCCGTTACTAGATCTGTCTGCAGAGTGCAGTATGGTTTGAGGGGTAAGGGGCTGAATTGGAGATTATTAAAGAAGGTTGGGACAAGGGGACAAGGGTGCTAAAGCGGATTCTAACGCCAAGCGATATCAGAAATGCAACATGCACTTGGTATCATATCGGCAAAAGTTCCACGTGGAAGTGTACGGTTGGTTGTATCGGAGCGGAGAAATTCCGTTGATTCGACAACCGACAATTACCGCCACCACTCCCCGCCACCACCCACTACGGACCCTGCGGCTACCTCCCGCTTTCCCCTTCGGTAACCTATCCGCTCCTCTCTGTGTGGGCTCAGTGTGTGACAATGTGTCTCGTCACATCGTCTTGAGCCGTACCCGTACACTGCACCGTACATCAACACCACGAAAATTCTTCTTGTACTGTACACACAACAGTACACACCTGCACCGTACCGTAGTCCCACTCTTCTGTGTAGCGCCCCGCTATGATTCTTTCGACGCCTTGGACAGGCGCCGTTCGTCCTGTTCCCAACACCGCAGTCGATCAACAATGTTGGGGAACAAAAGCTGCCGCGCCGTCAGCACCACAAAGTCCAAGAAGAATGACGCCACTACAATCACAAACACCGTCAGGTACATTAAGGGCGAAGAAAACAGCATTTCAAGTTGCCCTTCCAGCGAGTAGTCCTTTGCAACGTTGATCGCCAGCGGGATCACCAGTATGTACACACCCACAGAAAGCACCATCAGCAACAACACAATCCAGTTGAGCGTGTGAGAGTCCAACAGTATCTTGAACAGTACCATCAACATCGCTAGCGTCGAGTTCACAAACCCTGTCAACACCATTCCGCTGTCAAGTCCATCTCGGAATCCAATCGACAAGTATCCAAAGATCAAGTACACCCCGAAAAATACAATCACTGCATGCCACAGACCGTACAGCATCGTGTACTCGAGCACCGTTCGAATCGAAAACAGCTGCTTGTCCCGGTTCGTCGCGTACACCGACGGGAATCGCAGAATAGTTTCCTCGTCCAAATCTCTCTCGAAAATCCCGTACAGGAAGGGAGAAGCTGATGTCACTACAACGTTGAACCCAGATGAAATCCATTGGTTGTTGAACGTCGTTCCGGAAACAAAGCAGAAAGCCTGGAAGAACACCTGTGTCATTGTAAAGAAAATATTCTTGTAAAAACTCAAGTTGATCATTCCCGCAGTACGCACTCCAGAATAGTGCCCATGCACCGCAGTCAGTCTCAGTAGATGTTTAAATTCACCCATCGCATAATCTGCCGTTCGCGCCGCCTGAGTTCCTTCCTTTCCAAATATACCCACACCAATGTGCGCTTCTTGGATCATCGACACGTCGTTTCCACCATCTCCAATAGCCAAAGTCATCGCTTTTCTCTTTTCCCGCACTAATCGTACCACTAGTGCCTTCTGTAGCGGCGTCACACGACAGCAGATCACAACCTTCGTATGATCGGACAACGCCATGAATACATCTGAATGATCCTCAATCGCGTGGTGCAGAGAAGCCCCGTCAATGATCACACCAAGCTCTTTTTCTTCCACTTTTTTCTTCTGACGCATGGACAGCCGACGAGGCAACTCAGCTATTGCGCTGAAGCTCGCCCGTCGCTGTGGAGTTTGCGCATCCAACACATGACGGTCGAGAGTGTCATTAAGTTGTCTTTGCACCTCCGCGGATGAGCTTCCTGCAATATGCACCACTTCCATGTTCCTATCAAGCAAGTTCGCTGAATATCCAATGTTTTCAGCCGTTTCTCTCTTGTCACCAGTCAACACCCACAGTTTAATCCCTGCTTCGCGCAGAAACTTGATCGTCTCGGGCACTTTGTCTTGCAACTTATCCTCTACAGCAGTCGTGGCGACATACATCAAATCCTCCTCGAGTTCAGCGCTAATCTTTGAAGTCTTCCCTTCCCTGTCCTCCAAAGAATTTTGCGCCTCTTGGAACCGTTCAAACCAAGTTTGGAAGTCCTTCTCCTCCAAATCTTTCATTGCAAACACAAGTGTTCGTAGACCTTCCTTCGCAAACTCGTCAATATGATTCTGAATCAATTCTATGTTCGCGTCTTTGTTTAGCAACTTCAGCATGATCGTATCAGCACCCTTGGTGAACATTTTAATTTTCCCGTCAGGACACCTGAGAATCATGCTCATTCTCTTGCGGTCTGAATTGAACTCCAGTTCCGCCAAAGTCGTGTAAGTTTCTTTCGTTCCAAAGCGATCAATAACGAGTGTGTCAAGGGTTCGCGTCATAAGAGTGATCCCGTATTCTCTCGCCGATGTAACTAATGCAACCTCATCCGGACTCTGACCTTGATATTCTGGAAGTGCCTCTTCTGAGCTGTTTCCATCTAGCACAGCCGTCTTGTCCCCCAGATCCGGATTAGTGCGTTTCTTACTCTTCTTTCTGCCTGAGTCTCCAGAGGAGTTGTCAGACTGCGTCTCATCCTTGGGTTCTGGCACGACGCTGTGACAGAGAGCCATTACTAGCAAAAGTTGCTTCACAGGCTCGACACCATCTTTGACAGCGCGATGCATGGCTCTTTTCTTCTTGAGAATATTGTACAACTGTCCGCCAGCCGAGCAGGCGATGTAACGCATTATGTTCTCTGTGAGCGTGCCCGTTTTGTCGCTGAGGACGTGCTCGACCTCGCCGAGCATTTCATTCAGATTGGTCGCTCTTGCCAAGACCTTCTGCCGTCCAGTTCTCATCCGGAAATCAGCAGACATGAATAGTGCTTGGAGAACCCGAATAAATTCTAAGGTCACGAAAAGCGAAACCGGGATAAAGGTAGAAAACAAAATGAGAAACGTGCCCAGGCTTTGGGAGGTGACTTTGCCACCAGATGTCAAAGCATTCTCCCCCATGTACCACTGGCCGGCACCATCCCTGTTTTGTAAGACTCCAGCGACAATTGCGCCTGTGATGACGAGGGTAGCGAGGGCAATAAACAACATAAGGACGACCCAGTTAAGTTTGCGCTCAACGGAACCCATTTTGCTTGGGGGGTTGCGCATGTTTAGTGCAACTTTAGTATCAAATCCAGTGTACACAGCAATACCATAAATGTACTCGGTGTTTCTCAAGATACTTCCTCTGAGCAGCAACGACGACGGGCCGAGCGGGACGGGGCCCTCGCCGCTGAGTTCAATGGAGGCTTCAAACTCGTGCAGAGCAGTGGAAGGGCTTTGAGCTCTGATCTTGCCATTGACGGCAGGAAGCTGAGAAGCATGTTCGATCTCAGCGGTAGCTGAGGCGACGATGACGCGCTTTAGATTGGACTCACCATCCAAGTTTGCTGTAGACACATAGGCAATACCGCCTTCTAAAGCGGAATGCAAGAGGACGAGGTCGCACGGAAAAACCTCTCCTTTGCGCACGAGAACGATGTCACCAACGGCAATGTCTCTTGAAGCGACAGTGCGATGCAAGTCAGGCTCCAGATGGGCGGCTTGCAGCGTATGGGCAGTCTCTGATGTGACCAAGGAGAGCTGCTTCTTCGTCTCGATGCTTTCCGGGACGCGGGCCATGATAAGCCTTTCCTCGCTGTTTTGGCGACGATCATCGTTTGCGCGCTTGATGTCCTCGAAGATGTCTCTCGCAAAACCGAAGCCGACAACGACGAAAAGGGGGAGGACGCTTGCAAGTGGGGTGCTTGGGGAGATGTTAGGAATGAAGGAGATACAGGCAATGACAAGGAAGTAGAAATTGGAGACGCGTTTGAATTGTTCGTAGAGGGCCTTGGGGATCATGTTGAAGGGGGTGTACTTTGCGGTACGAAGCTGGTTGGAGATGAAAGCGCGCTCGGCATTCGCTTTGAAGTCGTTGAGGCGAATGAGGCGGGCGCCCTTGCCCCCCGCATCGGCTTCGTCGGCCTCGCGGACGGAGGTCCGGCGTTGGAAGAAGGAGCGCGAACGCGGACGGGCATTGTCAGGGTGATCCGGGTCCGGGGCCGAGCCGATGGAGGCCGAGGGCGACGAGGGCGACGAGGGCGAGGCCATGGGGGAAAAGGGTGGGGGCTGCGGAAGGGAAAGAAGGGTGCCAGGGGGCAGAGAAGGTGGGTCAGTTGCGGGGACGCAAGGATAAGGTAAAGTGGCGCGGGGGTTGTGGCTGTTTGGGGTGATTTTCGCGGGGTCAGCAATCGCAGGGGAGAGGATTGACTGGGGGGCAGCAAGATCGATTTTCTGCATGCTTCAACACACACTCGATGAGAAAACCGGGGCGTGCCGGGGTTTTTTAACCAATTTCAACGCACCAATGTATGCCTGAAGGACGTTCAAGTCCAGCCATACCCGGGATGTCACGTGCACAGACGCAATCAAAACTCGCTGCCCCTTTCCATGGCATAATATTTTCGCGGTTACTGAATCCCATGGCGTTCAGATAGGCGCGGATACAGTACATACAGTAAATACCGAACACGTGTCGTTCAGGGCCTGCCGTTGGGATGCTATTTTCGTCAATGTCCTGTGGGTAACCGTTTAACCTCCTGACACTCGCTTCCCTTCTGAAGGTCTTACAGTACGGAACTGTGTGCTGGTCGGAGGATAATAGCCTCACAACTGTACGGAATGACAACGAACTCTAGTACAGTATGACACAGAGATTTCTACGTGATACTTCACACGTCAGAGTGTGTTGTCCATAACTCTGGTCATCATCCCTCCGTCCGTCTTTCCTTGTCATGTCGATACGGACTGTTCTCAGATGTAATACTGCGCATTAATATCCATGTATCACCCACCTCCCGCGTCAAAAAAGGCGCAGTCCCTACATGTAGGCATTCATTCATCCAGTGACATACTGATATTCTCGGTACCTGAGCAATGCATCTTCTCTGCCTTCAGTTTCGGACAGCAGTCATCACAACCCTCCGTTTTACTTTCATTGTGGGGCAAGTGCCAAGCCCAGATTCAAATGCTTGCGTTTTTTCTGCACCCAGACCGTGGGAGCACACCGTGCCTTTCACCAGATGCACTTCCATTCCTCCGTCCACAGGCGCAGGCGCAGGCCGCTGCCGCTGAGGGCCGTTCAATCACCCCTCGCCTCCATCGCTGGCCTACTGTATGTATTGCGCATGATGCTGCCTGCCCTGCGGACAACGCACCAGCCGTGTGTCTGGTAACCTTAACCCTCAGCAGCATTGCCAGGCGACGCAAGGGTACAAGGGCCAACTTCTAGACTGCCATCCGCATGCCTCTAACTGGCGGTGTACTATAGCATTGCTGTACACGTTCAATGCCTAGCAACAGCATCGTGTGAATAGCACATGAATTACATGCCAAGATGGCGCCCTGTCAAGCAAAGCCATGGCAACGTGGTCGTCACCGCGGTCAACATTTGGGTCTTCTCCCTCTTTGTTCCAGTCAATTCTGCTCCACGTACACTATCTAGATACATGGAGAGGTGATACATAACCCTGTGCCGCGGTTGTAGACGTTCTAAAGTTCGGACCAATCGGGGTTTTTTCCCGTAACTCTAGTTCTCGATGGAGTTAAGAGTCCTAACAAAGTGCTCTGGAAGCGGCCAACTGTCCCCTTTCTACCACGCAAGATCATTCATAGAAAAGCTAAGTACTTCTCGAACTAGAATCTACTGTAAAAACAGGGGGTGGACCGATGTGAGAACTGGGCCAAAGTTCTCACATTTCTCACAAAAAAGTATCCAAATTCTCACACTTCTCCGGGAGATGGTACGTTCTCACTGAGACTTGTGACATATTTCTGTGAAATATTTTGAGACTCTCCCTCGCCACAATGAGAATGTACCCTCGGAGGTAGACGTCTCAAAGTGTACGGAGAACATCTCCCCGGACAGCGAGAGGGTTCTACAAACATTTTGTAGAGCCTGTTTTTCATGCTCAGAGTAGGGGTTTTGGCGCTGAACGCCCATGCATGATACAATTCTCGTTGGGCTTGCACGATTTATGATTAATTATGCCTCGCTCTACGCCTCTTTGTTCTTAGAGAGTCATTGAAAGCTTCAACATCTTCATGGCTAGGGGCACCACGCTTCAGTTTGTTTGCGCTATGCCATGAATTCCAGCAATTCTTGCAGATAGCTTGGCGACAAACATTGCACCACTGAACCTGTTTTGAGCCTTTGCGTTTAGAGACCGGCTTTCCATTCCGCACTCCCCTAATTGTCCAACTACATAAAACACAGTACGTTGCCTGCCCAACCACCCGACTGTGCCTCAAAGAACTATCTAGCCTTTTCTCCTTGTTTTGGCCGACATTATATCTCTCAGCTGCCCCCCTAGCAAAAAGAGGAGTGACACGATTCGCGGATGGGTTTGTTGCTCCTCTTTCCTGTATGTTCAACTTGCGCCATGCTGTCCAATCTTTGGCAAGGAGCCTAGCAAACTTTCCAAAGGTTTCGCATTCAGTAACACGATGTCTGCATTGAGAGTATCCTTTGTTACCAGTACTTTCTCTTACAGAAGGTAATTTCCCTTGCTCTCTAGCCATATTTAAACGAAAGCATATCGCAGCATTGTTAACCTGCATCACCAATAGACGAGCTATTATGCTCGTCACAGGGTTTTCCGAAATGTTTGAGCGGGTTAACGTCTTCATGTATCTTGATATTACATCAACGCCTCCTTTAAGGTAATTCCAATAAACCGCCGGCGTCAGGCGGATCATTCTTGCTGGGGGTAGAGGGCTCCCTCTGGAGCGTATAAGGCGACGGATGCCATTACTAAGACTGTAGTACGACGAAAGACTGTTGATGTCTGAAGCATGGGACTGCTTTAGTAGACCATCATATTCTTTTGGAATATACTTCGTTTCTCCCCCCACCCACTCGAATCCCACGCAACTAATGCTGTCTAAAGCATGCGTGTAGGTGTGGCGTATGCTCTCCGAAAATTCTATGAGACAAGCGTAGATAATACGACCATGGGTAACGTTTCAACTTGTACCAACAACATATAAAATGTGTCTCAGGCCCAAAGTAGCTGCATGGTGCATACACTGTACTCTGTAAGGTGACGATGGCACCAAGGTCCTGAATAATTCGTCAGATGTGCCGCACGAGCCGACGTTTGACAACATAACAAACGGTCCGTATTTTTCCCGTGTGTTAGTGGCCTCGTTAACTGTTCGAAGTGAAGTCATTGTTTTGATTTCTGCGGCACAAACAAATGATTGTTCCAGTTCATCCGTGCACGCTATGATAGCGTCTGGACTATCCGCTATCATCTTACTGCTCTTGCTTTCAATCAAGCCTACTGTACGAATGTGTTGGACCGAAAGCTTCCTCACACCAGAAAACGCGTAAACCACTCCATCAAACACAGCCCGTTCGCGACAATATGCCCCTTTCTGGTCCGATAGGAACCCAGGAATTCCCCTGAGAACCTCGACCTCATTTCTCGACCCCTCCTTCATCCCTGCGGTAGAAACCAGTGGCTTCATCACCCAGGCATGAAGGGAGGCTTCGCGTAGGGTTTGAAGAAGCTGCGTTGCCGAATCCTCGAGGCGTGACTCCACTGACATTGGTACATTTTCCGCAGTGTCCAGGTCTACAGCACCTGCCTGAAGGTCTGCCTTGAGCTGAAAAATGGCAGTCAGCAATACAACTTTTGCAGGTGAGCCTGCCACGCCCCTTCCAAACACTTGCAACATCTGTTGAAGGTCGTTGCGAGTGAAGGCGTTGACTCTAGTTCTTGAATAGCGAGCAATTCTTGCCGCCAAGTCACGCCTTTGTGATGGCTGAGGAACCGAGCGCAGAACCATCCCAAATAAAATGCAAATGCGCTCCCACCTGACCCGAAGTAGCTCTAAACAGGAGTCGTACTCAGCGGGCATTGGGTTGGAACCCCTACCAATAGTTGTACCCCGCAGCTTCCAGGCCATCGCACCCAAATTCCTCTCGAAGTCCCGTGTCACAGCGGCAATAAATGAGTGTCCCGTCCGGGACGTGAAACGGAACGCGCGCAAAAGGAACCAGATGGGGTCCTCCGACTGATGAAAGGTGAGCGCGGATACCCGTTGTAATGCTTGGTCCACAACTTGGGTGGCTGATAAACTCTGGGAAGCGGAATCTTCCATAGGCGACGCTGTGCTGCATGCACCAGTCCTGCCTCTCTTTTCTGAGTCATACAGAACCTGGTCTTCCTTAATTGACTGCAGAGAACCCTCAACGCGGAACCGACTGTGGGGGACAATGGTAAAGCTGCGTGAATTGAATAGCTTCGTATTGTTGTGAATCATGGCCGCTATGCGGCCAGAGCAGCTCTCTCTATACAGGCAGGCCTCGAGATCCCTTCCAACACGGCGGGCTGGCCCTTCCCATTTCTTAGTTGCAATATAAACAGCCCTGCACCCACTCTCCGAAACCACCATTCCCCTCTGTAGTATAATCACCCCCAACGACGAGGGGGGGTGAGTACTGACAGTTCGGAAAGACCCCGATCGGCGGGAAGACAGAAGCACGGCCCACCCACGGTACCGAGCACGGGCTCGAGGTAGCGGTGGTAGAGCGGGATCGGGGAGGACGCGCGCACGCGCGAGCGGTTCTACGCCTCGACGCCCCGGAGCGGTACTGGGTGACGATCCAGTACCGACGGGCGGAGGCGGAGCCGGCTCGTGGGCGTGCTACGCGCGTCCTCAACCCGCGCGCGGTGCTACTCCTAGGTAAAACGGACGGAAGTACCTAAAAGTAAGCGGGCGGACCAAGGTGGAGGATCCTTGACAAGTCCGTGCTTGTCGTCCTCCACCGCCGGCGGTCCGCTCATATTTAATGTACATCGTAGTCTATCATAACTCTACAGTAGTGCCGGTCTACCGACACTGTAGCGCTGTCAGCCGGCGGGGCTGACAGTCCACGTGTAGTACGCGTCCCGTACACGTGGAGGACACGTGTGTGCGCGCATGGCTGTAAGGCTCGTTGCCTTACTGTCCCTGATCCAATCCTAATCTAATTTGCGTTTGGGGTTATACCACATCACCCCCCCCTCAAGAGTGAACGTCCGCGTTTACTCCTGAGGCTTGCAGAACCTGTCCGTCCCACTCCCTGAACCGCGAGCAGATCCGACCTGGTATACGAATTTCCCCCCCCCTTTGCGCACTGTCCCACTTCGTCCTTGACAGCGCCATTTGGTCGTCCCCTCTCGCGTCACCGCCCGTGTCAGCATGGCCGACCCGCGGTCTATTCCTCTCCCGCAGTCACCCCCGGGCGTCGT